TCTATCACTCGATAGTTCAACATTTTTAGAGGTGGGAAAATTAACAGATATATTTAGTGTGTTACAGTATGATATTGTATAGTTGTCTAATGAAATTCAAGAATTAAAACCTATGCTCAAACAATCAAAATCAAAAGATATAGGTGATTTATCTTTTGAAGTTTTACCATTAGATCAAGCATTCTCCAAGATTATATATCTTGCTATCAGTGCTTTGACTATTCCTATGTTTTCAACCACAACAGAACGAGCATTCAGTAAATGAAATCAGTGAAAACTAGTGCACTCACTAGTATGTCGGACGATACACTAAGTGATTTGCCTTTCTTAGCTATTGAAAGAAATCTTGTTGTTGATAATTAAAAGTAATTGCTGCTTTTGCCATTCGGTATATAAAACAGTCGAATATTGTTGAGATAACGGTTATTTATTTATGTATTTATTTTTCATCTCTTCTCTTTATTGTTCGCATACATCCACTTAATGATAGATTGAGTTATCCTTTTTTGAGAAAGTAGAAATCGAGGATCTCTTTTTGGTCAGCGAAAAAATCTAAGTTATAGTGGTGGATGGAATTTTTAGAAGTGGCGGGGCGCCGCCCTACCATCACATAATTCCTGGTTACGCTACTACTTTACACTAACATAAACCGTTATAAGAGTTTAGGAAAGTAAGAAACTCAATCCTGAACCATTTGGGACGGTGTATGAAGGAGTTTCTGGGAAACATGAACCATTTCTGAGACCGTTCCAAATGGTTCAGGATTGAGTTTCTTACTTTCCTAAACCCTTTTAGGGGTTTCTGAAAGTGCAACGTATAATAAATCCTTTTATGGGTTTATTACTTTCCTAAACCCTTCCAAAGGGTATAAGACAGGGTATATTGATTTCCTAAACCCTTTGGAAGGGTATATGAAAGGGTTTATTGATCTCCTAAACCCTTCCTTAAACCCGTTTATGAGTATGTGCTAAACCCTTGGCTATACCCCTGCATGGGTTTATGAGCATTTCGTAAACCCTTAGCTAAATTCTATCCGTACTTGATGGTCTTCATAAACCCTTTTTTAGGGTTTATTAAAGGGTTTATTGGTTTCCTAAACCACTTCATATACCCTTAGTAACGGTATATCAAAGGGTTTATGATTTTCCTAAACCCTTAAAAGGGTTGTTGAAAGTACAGCGTATAATAAACCCTTTAATAAATCCTAAAAAAAGGTTTAGGAGAATTTTCCATACGGTAAAAAGGGTTTACTATACGTTGCACTTTCATCAACCCTTTTTGGGTTTATTATTCTACGAATTTTTTTTACAGTGAACTTCCCTACTCTTATTTTTCAATATTGATTTCTTGGTAGATTTAAATTTTATAAAGCCCAATGAATATCTTATCGAATCCCAGTTCATATTGGTGATAAAGAAAATATGAACTAACTTTGCAACAATACGTCATATGTTACTGGCACTGTAAGTCATACGTGAAAACTAAACAATAATGAAAGATTTAGATATAACTGAGCCTATAGAAGTGTTTAAGTGTTTTTGTTTGAGTCTACCAAGCCTTTAACTGTGCTCGTTTGAGCCTACTCAAACCTCGTGAGCCTACAGGCTCTGCCGCCTATGAAACAGACTCTTCTCTTCTCAATGAAGCATCCTTATTTTCCTTGAGAAACTTTTCTAAAATATACCGGACAATTTCCTTTTATTCACATAAATAATAAATTATGAACAGTAGAAAAATTGAGAAACTTGCAATTCAATCTATCTCTTAATCTAAAAGTGAGGGTATGAATACAGGTAAGTTATAAGTTCTATAATTAAAAATATTGCTAAAACAAGATCTTTCACTAGAAGCTATTGAATAAAAAGTTTATTTTCGAGATGTAAGTTTCGATTCGAAGTCAAATCAGACAGTCGCCCAATATAAAGTATAAGGAATCAAATCCTTTAGGAGACAGAAACATTTGCAGAAAAAAACATTTTGTGTTTGTGTTTTACCATTAATACATATATATATGTTATCATAAATGATAAATTTATCCAGCATATTCAAATCTATGTGAATTCTGCTTATATTGATATAAAAAAAAACTAAGACTTGAAAAGAAATATTCTTTTTAAGCACATAAATGTTTTCAGAATGAACGATAGTTTCTTCATTCTGATCTGATATTAATCTAAAGAAATATCTTGTTTATTTGTATCAAGAAAACTAATGATATGAAAAGAAAATTCTGCAATTGAGTTTTCCTTTTATTGCTTTGCCTATAGATAATAATACATTACAGATTTTATGCTGTCTTCATACCTAGTTCAACTTATAGTTATTGGAGGCCTCATTTTTTGACTGAAATTTCCCTCTGGATGAATCTAGTTTTGGACTGGTTCCATGCATAAAGTAAAAGCGACACAAAAATTTTCATATTTGAATTGACAGGCAATTCTTTTCTCTATCAGACTTATTTTGAATGAGCTTGGCGGAAGAATCCATTCATATTATTTGATAATGAATACTTTCAATGTTGTCAACTTTTTGTTTTAAAAATTTCAATCGTTTTCAGTCGTGTTTTTATGACGATGAATATAATTTACAATATTTTTGTATAGCTACATGATTCGATAAAGCATTTCAAAACTTACAGATTCATGCAAAAGCCTTCATGGATAAAAATATATCTCGTGCTATTTTTTAGGGCCCGAATGTGTTGATCTATGAAATCCTATACAAAACCTTCAACAAATAGCTAATTTCCGAATCAATAATTGTTTTTTCATATAAGATAAATGTCATATTTGAAATCATGATAAAAAAAAACTAGCCAGAAGAGTGTGGGTTTCACAAAAATAGAATTCATTTGCAGTCCTCCGCGGGCGAGACGCCAACCAACAATGAACTGTAGGGCAATACAGATGTATTTTCTTTTTGTGAAATTCATACTCTCTCGGCTAGTTTTTATCCTGATTTAAAATGTGGCATTTATCTTATATAAAACAACAATTATTGATTCGAAAATTAACTATTTGTTGAAAATTTTGTACAGGATTTCAAAGGTCAGCACATCGGATCGTCCAAAAAAACCCAAGAAAAATAATTTTTTTCTTTGAAGACTTTAAAGTCATGTTGTACACTTTGCAATAGTGGCGTAACCACGAGGGGGCTGGGGGTGGCTGAGCCCCCTCCAGAACTGCTTGAGCCCCCCCTAGAAATATTTCTGTTTAGCTGTTATTTAATGTTATTCTAATTTTTCGAGCGACTTTTGTGTTAGAGAACACAATCTAGATGTTATTCTTGATCAACAATAGTAAAGAAAGAAAAAGAACAATTCTGTTCTGTTTATGTCGTCTTTGTACAATGTGAGTAATCGATCGTCATTTATCTGTTCAACAACGAAACTTTCGTCTTGATCAACAACAGTAAAGAGAAAAGAAAAAGAACAGTTCTGATCTGCTGGTGTCGTCTATGTCAGAGTTGCAACCGGTAACGGTAAACGGCCGGTTCGGCCCGGTCTAGGATTCCTTACCGGCACCGCCAGATATACCGGCCGGTACAAGCGACTTTTTCAGACCGGCCCGGTCTAGATTTTTTAAAATTATTTTCGCTTTTTTCCCTTATTTTTTGCAAAAATAGATGATAAAAGTGTTTATTTTTGCATATCAAGCTAGTTTTTATGACATTAATGACGATTTCTAAGAAAAATTATGAGATATATTGTTTATATTAAATCAGTATTTATCAAAAATATATTTCTTAGTGACGAAGGAGAAGTCTTAAATAATTGGAATAGTGATTCAGAGTAAGATATGACTGATGTTAAATGAAAAAAGTCAATAGTGACTCATACGATGAAAAAAAACAACTATGACTCATGCCGGTCCGGTCCGGTCTGATCGGCTTAGACCGGTACTGGTACCGGTCTAGAAAAAACCCTACCGGTTGCAACTCTGGTGTATATTGTTGTTTTGTGTATTGATGTAGTGTATATTGTTGTTTTTCTTTAAAATGCTACTCTTAACATGAAAAATATGTTAGTGAACATCAAGCAAGTACAACATCTCCTAAAAAAGGTGGAAGAAATTCAGTTTTTAATTAATTCTAAAGAGTCTTGGGGCCGAGCCCCCCCTAGCTTAAAATCCTGGTTACGCCGCTACTTTGCAATGCTCTATCGATTCATATATAAAATAAGAAAACCGGGCGTCGTAATCCCCTCCCTTAATACTGTTTGATTACACTTAAAACAAAAGTTTAGTTCAAAATTAAACCAGATATGAGCATATAATAGATTTTTTTACATTGCGTGACTCATGAAATAGACAACGCACAACTTGTCTTTTTTAATAATTAAATATATCAATAACCATAGTCATCATTACAGCTAAAAATTCAATCGAAAGCAAACATCCTTGCATATGACTGAATAATATTTTGTTCATTAGGGAACTGAATTTCTTTAGACTATCGGAAATCAATTTACAGATAAAGAATTTTATGTTAATCTAAGTTACATAATTTAATCAATCTAGTTGTGTAGTACAAGGGTAGAAAGAACCCATGATGATTGTTAGTATATAATAAAAATATACGTGGATGGAAGAATTTCATTCAATCATAATCCACTAAAACAACAGAAATATACTAGCATATGCTTATCATCATTTATTTCTTCCTACATAATAATCATAAATTTAATTCACGAATATGAATCGATGAATATCAACACAAATAAACAGAAAGTGCAGAATTGTTGTCTTTAGTTTTTATTCTGAATAAAAGATTTCATTTTAATAACGATCATAATATGAACAATATTAGCATTTCTCCGGATGTTTATTATTATTGGCTGGATTAATAGGCGCTTAAAGACTAATTCCAAATTCTCATCTAACATCCGATAGTTTTTCTTTCTCACTAGAGAAAAAAAAAGAAAATACGATTTTTTTATCTATTATTCTCGATCTTCATGTATATAAATGACACGCCCTAGGCGACACCCTTAGATTTTTATAATGAATTCAACATGCCATGCAAATGCAAATGTAATTTTGTCATTTTTTATTTTGGGTTGCTTATTGACAATAGTTGGTATCGTACTCAACCTTTGCCTATGTATACTTTTTTGCCGTGCAAAATCACTTTTTAATACTCCATATGCTATCTTCATAATTGCATTATCGATAGCAGATATTGTGAAATTAGTTGCCGAATATGTTGTACATATTTTATTTCTTTATATTCGACATCCTTATTTTGTTTGTTCAATAACATGGTTTTTAACAATGACCAGTGAAAATACATCTTATGCATTTCTTTGTGCTTTAGGTAAATAGATATTTTCTGAATTCTTTAATATACGTATATTTAGGAATTCAGTTCGTATTAAATAATCATATATGAGAGCTACGAAGCGCTAAAAATAACCAATCTCATTTTAAATTGTAATCGAAATGAACAATTTCACAAAATAAATAAAAAAGAATTTGACAGTGACAGTAGCGATTAGATCCAAAAATGAATGCCAGGAGTTTATTGCAAATAGTGTTATTTTCACAAGTGTCAAGCGTTGTATAATCTCCATTAACGACTCATTCGTCAAAAAAAGACTGATTCATGATGTGTAAAACTCCAGTTCTTTTGAGATACAACAATAAAAGAACTACCGAAAAACAAACAACGAAACACTAAGATTCTTACATTTATCCTCTGGATACACTACTGATCTGATGTATCATACGAGATTCATCGTAGTAATAAAGGTTTGTGCTACAAACAAATACAATGAATTTTTTATATGGTGCTGATCAAAAGCTCGTTGAGTTTGAAAAATTCTTAAAAACAAACTTCCTGATAAGTGTTTGAGTGACTAGATGCGTCTAATTTCTCCCTGAAAATATTAATTATATTTCTTATAAATCTTTTATGGAAGACTTCGTACATTGTATTCTTATGTTTTTCCAGGCATTGAACGTAACCTCAAGGTTTGGGCAGTAAATGGTCATTGTTTAATAACTAGACGACGCGCATGTATAGTAACTTTACTGATTGTTTTATTTGTAATTATATATGATCATCCGTTTCTTTTTTTTCCGCACGATCAATCTTTTTGTTTTTTTAAATTATTTAATCAAAAAGTATTATTTTCATGTGATAATGCACACTACAGTGCATATGGTTTTAAATTTTCCTTAACTCAATTATTATTCATTGAAAATGTTGGATTAAACAATTTAGCTTTACCAATACTCATTATAACAACAAATATTATTTTAATATTTGGGTTACGGCGCCGTTCATATCAACGTCAACACTGTTTAGGTAGAAGCAAAAAGTACGACTGGAGAGAACGAAGCGTTATGCTTTATATGCTTCTTTCAAGTTTAACATTTGTTCTATTAACATCGCCCATTGGAATCTTAGGTATTTGGACAACGTTGCACGATCAACATATTCCAACGAATAATCTGTCGCTTGTACTTGATTTATTAGAAATTGTTCATCATTGCTCACATTTTCCTATACTATTAATGACAAGTTCAATAATACGCACAAAAACATTCCAAATACTTTTTCAATTTCGTTTATCAAGACGAAATTCGCAGAATATTTTGAGAATATCAAATAAAAGAAGTTTTCATTCCCAAGAAAAATAAAAGTTCAATTTCATGTCGTTTTGGTAAATTGTACAGTTGCATTTTTAAAATAAATAAAAGGTTTTCTACGATCAGTTCATTCACAATGTTTTCATAGAAAAAAAAAACATCAATACGATCTCTGCAGAACGAATTTATTTCTAAATGACTTTTATATATAGTAGAAAATCTACAAACAAACTAAACTCTACGAACACTACTAATACCACAATCGAAATGATTCGTTCTTGCATTCAATACTTATGAATATTATCGTCACATGTAACTGAAACTATCATCAACACCATTCTTTTCGCTTTCTTTTCAATATATTTTGTTCTATAGGCTGCATTTTCACTTGTCATGCGCACAGTAGGATACATTATGCAGATTGACTATGACAATTTACATTTAAATAAAGAAAGAAATATTGAAAAAAAAGAAACACAGCACAGATAAGTCAGCCAGTCAATATTATGAGCCGTAGTGGTCCACAAACACAGCCACTTATTCTCTATAAACCATTTCAATATCCAACACCAAATAATCTACGTTTTATTCAGCCGGCTACTGCTATTCGACCGACATTATCTTCAAATAATAATTTACCGGTGAGATTTTCATTTTTCGATTCATTACATGCTAGACATCCTATTTATAGAATACAGTTGACGACTAGATCTTAAAGTTTATCATATCAATTATCAAACAAACGATATGCATTGATTGTTGCTGGAGACCAAACGCAATATTGAACATTTAGTATAGATTTTGAGAAAACTAGATCCACGCCAATGCAAATTCATACATGAAAATATTAAAATCAGTTTCTCTGCGGGCGACTTTCATATTCGCTTAAAAACAATACTGCCGAAATGAAATACTTTTCCGGTATTGAACTAGCGTTTCAAATGTTTTTCTTAGTATTTGTATCTCATACAAGTGTATTTCGTAGATCGTTTGATTTTTTCCAGAAAAACCAAAACATTTTTGTTATTGTTTTGTCTATTCACACATTATTAGTTACATAAGTCAGCACTTTTTCGAAACATCTAGCTTGTTTTTCTAATTAGGAGTTTGTATAATTATAGAAGATAGTACTCTTATAATTAACAACACCATTTTTTTGAGAGTTTATCGGGAGGATCTAACTTTTTATACTTTGTTTTTGTCGCGACAAATGAGAGTCTTACAAATGTAGAATATCGAACCCTCGAGCTTGGCGCTTATGTTCAAACTCAAGGATGTAGGATGAATGCCAATAGAGAAATCTCAGTTGATTGAAGATTTTATTTATTGAATATCTACTGAAGAAGAAAAAAGCTATTGGATTAAGCAATTCAATAGTCTGAATATGTCTTGTATGATGAATACGATTGAAATCGAGCGGGAGCAAAATATTGCACTTTTTTTTATCTCACTTTTAAAATGATATTGAGATTTCCTCGTGCGATTCAGCCTAATTACTAAAAATATACGTTTTTATTTGTAGTTCTTTCAGATAGGCGAAAGGTCTTAGGGAAAATAGCTTCTTTTTTTAGCCTGCACTATAAATCGTTTTATCATGAAGACACAAATAACAATGTTCTATCTACTATTTTAACGATGAATATTTTCTCAATATTATATATTAATAGATCGTTCGACCACCACTTGTACAACGATTTGTTCGACCTACAATCATTCGACCTCTACCACCAAGATTAGTGACACATGAAAATTCATTGAATCGAGTAGATCCAACTACAATTGAAGCAAAACTACCCGCTAGAATATTTTCAAGTGAATCATCACTTTCAACACTATCAACCATTCCTTCTAATCATGAAGAAATTCGACAGCAACAACGAATAAGTTCTTCAAAAATGAATGATTGTCTTAGTTCAAATTGTATACTAAATACTCGAGCAATTTATATAATTATTATTCTTCTTTTTATCTTTTTTCTCATTGTCATTCTTCTTCTTATTGTCTTGATTATTGTTCATCATTAGTTAACTTTCTTTGTTTTTTTTTGTTCTTTGTCTCAAAAGTATCAAAGTGGAGAATCATGCTGCTGCTGTAGCTATCGCTTCTAACGATACGCATATCGTTTGATCTATACGATATATACCGCCAATAAAACTGACTGATTCTCTTAGTAGTTCACCGCTTTACTGCTCTTCAAGTAGTATTGCCGTGATAGAAAAGTGAAAAAGAAAAAGAATCTTTTGATTGAAACTAGATACCATTTATTTAGAAGAAAAAACTTCTCTTGGGTTCACATAATAATGAAGATCAGACTATACATCTTGACATAGCACAGAGTGCTCTTTGCTTTACAATTCAAGTATTTGTTTTTTCTATGGACATCATATTCATCTTCGCTCAATCATATATACATAGATTTATATAAATAAAAATCTAGTATATCTATTTAATCATAAAGGCAAAAATAACTTTCAGGAGAGAATTTTATTTTAAGATATGCAATCGTACAAGGCAAAAGATTCCAAAGCGATGTTATTTTTCATAATGCTCAACTCGAAACATAAACACTTTGAGAAAAAAAAATATGTCTTCTATTTTTCCTTCTATTTTATATTAATATTACTGCAAACAGTAAAATTCCAAGGAAATCCGAGTGGTGCGCAGTGTATTTCCATGGAAACAAACAGAACGGTAAAAAGAATATGCATATATATATATATATATATCCTCTAGCAATTATGTCTATAACAAAGTTCACTTTATTTAGTTTTAATTTTTGGAAATATTTAAAATTTCCATTCATCACTTTACTATAAACAATTACTAAAAAAATAAAACAAAAGATTCTCTTTTAATTCTTCTCTGCGGGTGTTTGATTCACATGTAATAATAATCAATTGTCGAGCTTATTTGTTAGATGTCTACTATGAGAATTCAGTTATATATATATATATATATATGTAGATCATCTTTTTTATGATTCAACTGAAGTATACTCTCCACACATCAGTCTCAGCAATAATCAATCTATGAGAAGACTAATTGTCACCCATGTGTAAAAAAGTCTCTGTTATTGTTGATTTACAATCTTTGATAAGCATTGAAAATTTCTCCGGTTTTTTCTTTTTCTTCTTCTTCTTCAACCAATAAGAATCTCTTCAGTTTTAAACCAATAGAAAACGAAAGAATGTAAAAGAGAAAAAGTACAAGAAAAAAAATGAGAGAAAGGAAATGATTATTCTCAATACGTAGACAAGAGGTCTCTTTTGTCTTCGTTTGTATATGTGAAAAGAAGAAAAAAAAAAGTAGAGAGAAAAAGAGTGAGAACGAATAAGTAGCACATATACACACGCACATATTTGCCCGTGTCGTGAGTGGAGTCGAACCTCTTCAATCGATCTCGAAAGCCTTCTGAGAGCCTTCTCAGAGCATCTCTCATCCCGCACGCCTTCGTTCGAACACGGTAAGTGGCCAATTCTTCTTTCTCTCCTTTCTTCTCGCGTTTCATTTCTTTCTTTATCGTCATTTTTTATTTTCAATAATATTCATACAACAAATCATCCTTAAAAAATCCACAAAAAAATAACCATGTTTCAGGATAGTTCAATATCATGTCATACGATTCTTCGTCGCCCCCATCGCGGTCAACACCTATATCAACAACTGTTCCGCCAGTATCTTCTACCAATAATGCTGATGATGCACCAAATTTACCATCATCAACAGGATACGATACATTTTTTCCAACATTCGATGATGGCTGTTCAGCGTATCCAACAAATAATAATAGCATAAAAAAACCACAAATATCATCATTCGATCCAACAATCTATCAGAATTCATTTGCAAGTCATTTCTCACCAACAGGTGTACCATATCCATTTTATTCGGATGCAGCAACATCCTATTTTTCAAGTCAAGCACGTACATATTCGGATTATCTTTGTCAACCACCTTATCGTCCATCGACAGCAAACAATCCGATGGCACAAAATCCAGTATCAACATCACCAACAAATGCAACTAATACATCAACTAATTCATGGTATCAACCGACACATTGTAGCGATCCAAGATTTGCAAGTAATAGATTTGAAAAATAAAATAATTAGAAATTGCAAAAAATAAATCTTTTGTTTTTTTTTCTTGTCAATTTCAGTGACACGTCTACTAACTGGACAAACTCCTTCACAATATGATATGTATCAATCTGCTTCAGCTATGATGGATCCATTGAAATCTGCTTATCACCCATTTGCGTTTACACCGAAACGTAAACGTCGTGTTCTATTTAGTCAACAGCAAGTTATGGAACTTGAAAAACGTTTTGATAAAAGTCGTTATTTAAATGCTCAAGATCGTGATCAACTAGCGCATTCATTAAATTTAACATCTACACAAGTTAAAATCTGGTTTCAAAATCATCGATACAAAACAAAAAAAGCCACCAAAGAAAAAGGTGGAAATAATTGTGTCGACAGTGAAGATGAACAACCAATGTCAACAAATAATCCTCATCAACATCATTCACAAATACAATCGAATATGTTTCATTCACAAGTACAAATTCCGTCAAGTCATCAGCGACTTCATCATGCACATCATTTACATCATCATCCACCGCTTCATTTACTTAAACACGAACCACGTTAATTATAAACAAGAATTATTACTAAAAAAAAAGGACTATTCTATTTTGATTCTTTCTTTTTCTTTTCTTCTTTTTTTTGTCGTGCAATTTCTTCTTATTGTGTTTTGGTCAATTGTTTTTTTTTTAGAAGAAAAAAAAGTCTTTATCTATAATTTCTTTTTCTTGGATATGACTAATTCTATTTGCATGTTAAATTCAATCATCATCGTTGTCGTCCGAGACCGAACCGGGCCTACTCTCAATGTCAATTTGAAGTGGTAGACGCAGCTGGGAAGAGACAACAAGTGGATGAAATGTTGGCACAACGACTAAATGAAAGCAAAAGAGACATTAAAAAAAATGTCATCTCTCTCTCTCTCTCTCTTTTCACACACATCGCATGTGTCAATATTTGATCGAAATAAACCAAGCATCGTTTCGAGAAATTACAGAACAAGATAAGAAAAAAGAACGATATTTTTTTTTCGAACTAAATCACTGATGTAATAGTTTGTTAGCACGTGTTAATCATAATTGGAAAGTATTGAATTTGAATGATGATGCTTTTTCATTTGCTTTGATGGAATTATGAAGAGAGAAAAACATTGCTTGTCTTATGTTTTCTAAAATGGTTTATGCTTTTTTTTTCGTCTTGCTTTATTCAACATATATTCACCTTAGTGCCTATGGCATTCATCTTTTAAAATAAAGACATGATGCCCGAAAGACAAAGAAACACTTAAAACACAAGTAAACCAAGTAAATTGAAGAGAAAAAGAAAGAAAAAAGTCAAACAACCATTAGAATAGATTTGTCCTATTATTCTTTGCCACTAATTGTATACAATAGACGATTGAGGTCATAATATTTAACATAGAGTTTACTATCGTTGTTCACAGTTTTCCTTTTTCGAGCGTCAATTGATTATGCAAGTATATTTATATACAGTGATAGGTAGGTGGCATTATTTGTTTAAATCTCAATGATCTGTTTTATCGTTGTAGAGCGTGGTGTTATAAATGTAATTGTATTTTCTCTGTTTAACAAATACAACAGAGAAACAAAAAACCGAACGCGAAACACAGTGATAATTGAAGCTAGTTAAAATAGATTTTTCTTTTTCTCTTGCTAGCTATTCATAATCGTAAGGAAAAAAGCAATTGATTCAAGTAGCTACTTGTTAAATATATTTCGTCGTCATCCTCCTATGGAGTTATGCAATCGTTATACACACGTGTCTCCAAAATCGATGCTAAGCCACTCGCAAAATATAGCGCACTCGACGGGAGATCGACGAAAAAGAAAAAGAAAAGTGGCGTCCAGCATACTCCTCTACCTTCGTCTACCTTCTATCATTCCACTTTTTAAAATGTAGTGATTTCATGTATTGCAACATATAGACGCGCGCGCGCATACACACACACATGCGGAAATCGACTTGTTTGATTTGAACTGTGTACGGGGGCGGGTTTCATATTGAATATGTCACATCAGAAAGGAGCGGATAGTTGAAGAGGAAAACATTTAAAATATCATTCAATCAAATTTATATACTAAACAATTAATAAGTGCTATTAGAAAATAACTACTACACATGTTTTTTTTTGTTTATTTTTTGTTTGAAATTGAATATTCAATTAATAGAAACTGAGTGAGTGTCATATTATATATATATATATATATATATATATATATGTTAAATTGCTTGAATAATATAATCAAGTTAATAAAAATTCTCTATTTCTTTTCTTGTTCTTGTTTAATGTTGGCTTCATTATTTCAAACTATATACTTTTGAATTATTCAAGAGGACAAACATTATTATTTTTTCGAGTGAATTCTTATTTCGACAAGCTTGCTATCTTGCCTATTAAACGATTAGAGAATCCATCATCACATTGATAAGTACCTTCTTGTTTTTTATTCGATGTTTATTTGTCGACATATAATTAGTCATTGAATATTGCTTGTTGGATAAATGCGTGAAGACATAAGAGTACTTCTCACCTGTACAGACTAAATACTTAACTGATTGGACTCATATCAATAGCACACATGGGAATGAAATAGATAATAAAACATCAGGTATTTAGGAAAATACATAGAAATAGAAATATCTATTTTTTTTTTCGAATTGTAATTAGCGATTTTTTTGCCTGTGGAATTTTCAAGTAGGACGCACTCGACAAAATAGTGCGTGTGTGTATGTCGGGGAGCCAGATGATGATTTTTTTCTTTTTCTCTTGTTCGCCTTCCGTCATCATCTCATGATTGGCTAGTGCTCTATCGGAAATTTCACTTCCGATTTATAGAGGTTATGTTCGATGTGCGCCTTCTGCTCAATTACATGCGCGTCTAACAAACATTTGTTGCTTACGTCAGATTTTTTTCCTGCTCTAACTTAAAAGCAAGTATACCGATAATGGACACCGCACTATTCAATATACTCAAGAAAAGTCCTTCAACGTCACCTGTGCAGACTTTTCTTTAATAGATTTAAATTAAATAGAAAATGGAAAACGAAGCTAACTTGTTGCTTCAAGCAGAATAAATTGAAGATGATATTTTCTTGTTCACATTGACGTCATTATAAAATTTTTACGATAAGATGATTTTTCACTAACCCTTGTGGAAAGCAATTAGAGCCAATGAATCAATGCGTATACGTATATTCACATAATATTGCATCGAAGTGAAAAATGACAAAATGCTCAACGACTTGTTGTTCGTTGAGAAAGGAAATTTTGCTTTTTTATTTTCTCATTGAATAGATAAATATGACGTCAAATGCACAAAGCTCTTTTGCATAGATATAAATTTTAAGCAGCTCATCGATGACACGTGGGCAAATAAGTATGATTATTCTTATAGATAAGAAAGTTAAAAATGATTGAACTTTTTCTTTCGATAGATTCAATATAAATTTCTTTTCAAATATCCAGTACAATCATGATTGAATTGAACCCTTTTGTTTTTTGACTGATTGGAACAAAAATAACCGAATGTTTTTAATGATGTTTAATGTTTCTATTCATTGGCTAATAAGCTATCAGTGATTAGGGCATATATTCTAATTTTAATTATACTCCTGATTAATTTTTTGAGTGTACGATAATTGTTCCCTCTGGTGCTCTCAAAATGTTTGTAAACGAAACTGAGGAAAATACATCACATTCAATATAGTAACAAAAATATTGTCACTTTTTTTTGTTTGTAAAGTCATGTTAAAATATTTATTTGGCATTATTCCAGGTTCAACAATGATGAGACAGTCACACATTGTCAATACTATTGGTAATGGTGGCCTTAAGCAGTAAATGTTAGGAAGGATACGAGACTTATCATATGTTTATTTTTGCAAAGCATGAGTACCTTTATTCAAATAGAATACAAAAAAGTGTTCGACTGTGATGAGAAAAAAATAGAAATTCTTTGTGATTGAGAGGCAAGCGTTTTTTGTCTGTTGTGTTGGGGCTATTATTTACTAGTGATATCTCACGATGACCTAGGAATATTGCAGGTATAATCTAGTTTACTTTTGAATGTAAAGCGTTGTCGAGTATAGAACGACTCAGCTACGAATCTCCACAATAAGTCGAAGATTGTACAGAGCATATGTATATCCCTTTGACAATTGATTATTATTGAGCTAGACGACTGAGATTTTCTACTGATACACCAATGTCAAGACACTGAAACTTCGCACCTGACTGAATTTTCTGTTTATGAAGAGTTCTTATATATATATATTAAAAGGAAAACCCCGTACGATCGTATGCTAGAAGTATTTGTTGTTGTCTCACTCATATATTCATAAAACTAATAATTAAAATGAGAATGTTAGATCAACTTACCCTAAGAGACAAAAATAGAACTTTGTTTCCTCTTTTTTTCCTCTTAGAATTCTTTATCTGAAACAAAATAATATGTAAGTTCAGAACTTGTAAGAAAAGTTCATTTTCTTTTTGTTTTCGCCGTTTTCATTGTTAAAAGACAAGTAATAAATACACACAAATCTATTTATATTATGATGTATTGTGGCATTTGTTTAAATCTCTATATGCATACAATTGAATTATCTCAATTCTTAATTAAGAAGCGAACGGCGCCGAATGTTAATCACAATATCTAGGCGTGCAATTTTTTTTATCGTTCATTTTTCCCCCTTTCTTTTTTTTGTCTTGTGTCGGAAACAAATTAACCAATGAAATTCATTTTATTTATTCGTTCGTTGAATAATCATTGGTAGAGAATCAAGAAAAAAAAGAAGAAGTGAACATAACTATTCTTACTCTCTCTCTCTCTCTCCCTTGTCAGTTTAATAATCCTTCACTTGGTCGTTGAAAAAACGCAACACCAGCCGAGAAAAGTACTTCTTATATTCATCATCATCATTGTAGAAGACACTTCTGTCCTGTTGAGTGCGTCAACTTCAAACGACGAAATAAAAAAAAACTCTCGTCTTCGTGTCCCTTTTTCTTTTACTTAAAAAAACACAACATCATCATCATCATCATCATCATCATCATCATCTTCTTCTTCTGTGCACTACTACTAGGTGAAGTGTTGTGTGGCTACGTACATCCATACAATCATACATAAGCAATTGCTATTGCTTTTTTTATTCTTATTTATTTATGGCACTTATAGAACAGACGAAGAAAAGAGCAAAAACCGATTAATAATAATATATAGGAACATACTTTAACTATCGACAAGAGAAAAATACATACACATAAGTCATCATCGATCACGAAATTTTCTTCCTAGACCTATTAGTTAGTTATTTAACTGAATGAGCCACTCATAAAAACTTCTTGTTCACTTTATTTGATATGGCAAAACAGGAACAAATCGATAATATTCCTTACTATACGAATCAGTAAGTACTCGCTTATCGTTTTAATTCATAAACATACATTCGTTCACTCTTCATTTTAATAATGTCTTTCTCTCTATGAAAATCACTTATTAAGTGTATCGCAATTTAATCTTTAACAAAAGACAAAATCTCGAATAAATT